CGCCAGGGGCGCGGTGCTGGGTCCCGGAACGGCTGCGGGGGGGGGTCGGGCTGAGGTGGGGCGGCCACGGCAGCGAAAGTGTGCAGCGCTTGCAGGATGGCAGCTGTTTGGTTTTGTAAAAGGTCGGCTATGGTGGCCACCATAGGACAGACGCCGCTGGGGGGGCGGGCGAGGGGGAGGTGGGGGCCGCGGAGCGGCTCGGGGGGGGAAGGCGTGGCCGCTGGGGTGGGGGTTTCCGCGCGACACGGCAGGGATTGCGTGGCCGCTTGGGGGGGGGGGTGTTTCCGCGCGACACGGCAGGGATTGCGTGGCCGCTTGGGGGGGGGGGGTTGGCGGCTATCAGCGGCTTCTGAGAAGCACAAAGATCGGCCAACGTTCTATACGCTGGAAGTAGTTTGCAAGCGTCGGGATCGCGCCGTGAAATATCATTAAAAAGTCTATTTCCAACTGAGTCCCAAAAGTCTCTACAAAACACTGTGGAACAATCGGCATTCGGGAAGTTAAGTAAGATCCATTCTAGAAGGTTTTTTAATTCTTTCTTAGACGAAGTACTGTTATGGCTACGTAAAAGGTGGTTAAGTTGCTTATAGAGATCTCGATCAGGTGCAGAGTGGGATTGTCCCATTTTTAAACCAGTGTGGCACACCTCGGTTTCGCAGAAGCAGGGTCCTCTGTCGGGTTCCGACGTACAGTCCAGTCGGTGCTGAGGATCCTCCGCGGGGGTCTCCTCAGAGCTCCGGGTTCAGGCGTCACTCAGAGACGGCTTCCGGTGCTCGGGAGCTCCAGACCCCCCTCAGAGCTTCAGCGCGGGCAGTGCAAAGCAGTGCTCACCTGTGCTCTCTGCACGTGGCAGCGTGCCACGGCAAGTCTCCTCACAGAGCCTCAGGTCACCGCCGATCCGCAAGTGGTTGCCTGTGCTCCGAGATGTAATGGGCACAAATCCTCCAAGGGCTCCGAAAACTCGCTACTTGGGAATGAGTTGCAGTGCTCGAGGATTGCCTCAGCAATTTTTAAAGAGCTCCGACTTCAACGCTGCCTAGCAACAAAATGTCGTGCTCACAACACCGATGGGGAAGAAACACCTGGGTATTTAGTTACCATCCATGGAGAGGTATCCTACAGGTAGAAGAGCTGGAAAGGCATCCAGACGGGTGTGGTTGCAGGTCACCGTGGGGTCGTATTCGAAGTTGGGCGCCAGTCTGTAAAGACGTGTGAGTACTCCAGGACAGTTTGGGTGGATGCAGACGAGAGATCTCTGTTGGTTGCTCTTGGAGGATAAGGTTTATTTGGGATGGAGAGAGGCCCTGCCTCGAGCTGCTAGACACATCACGTGGCTGGGCCTGAGGTGATGGGGGAGGGGTGAGACAAAGGGAAGAGCAGAGACTCCAGGAGGGGGAATCCAGGAGGAGGGAGGAAGTTCCAAGAGGGGAGGGGAAGATCCAAGAGGGCGTCCGGCCCCTCGGAGGCCCCTTATCAGGGGGGCTCCAAGATGGGATAGAACAAGACTTGGGCCAATGGGGTCACAGACACCTGATGGTTCAGGGGAGGGTTACAGGTGTGGGGTGAACCATACATTCTGGGGGGTGAGATGGAACAGTCCATTTGGCTTTTGAACCCCTCTGTAGGTGAGGGTGATTGTCCAGCCAGTAGGGGGCGTTATATTCGTCCTGGCTGTACTATTGTGGTTCTTCTGCTAGACAATCATATTTATCTATCCTTCCCAACACACACCTACTCTCCTCCCTGGCTCTGTGCAAAGACAAGCAGCACATGTGTGCAGGTGGCTCTGGGTAACATGCGGGCTTTGGAACCTGTAGGGGTTAGAAATGATTCCTTGTGAGATCTGGGATTGTGGCCATAAGAGCTGGATTGTACCAGCTATGGGAGGCACCCCAGGACCAGCCAGGACCTGTCTAACACAGAAGCAGTGATGCCCCTTTGCAGGCTTAGAGGATTCTGTCTAATATGCTTGTGCATAAAATAATTTCTTACCAAACCAGCAAGAGGAGTTGGGTTTGCATAATATGGTTTTGGTAGAGGAGGGTGCTACAGGGGTGGCTTCTATGAGAAGCTTCTAGAAGCTTCCCCTATGTCTGACAGAGAACCACGTAAGAATATCTATGAAGAATATGGTATGTACTGGGCTTTTGTGAGCTCAGTCATGTAGGTGGTTTGTTCGCCTGAGTAAAACCCTTGATGAGAACAATCACTAGTTTGAGGCACAATTTGGAAATTACAAGGCAGGGTGAACAAGGTTTGTACTACTACACAAAGGCACCCCAAGGAATATTAAAGCAGGCTTATTCTAATAATTATTGTGAGCATTTGAGATAAACACTGAAACTGAGCAACGTGTGGTTTTTAAGAGTCGTTGGTGTAATCCACTCTCAAGATGGCACACGGGGAACAGATAATTTGTATGGTTTTTGTATTAAACAAAATAAACAGAGCTACAGAGCCTACATCAAATCTTTAAGGTCAGTGGAATCTTTTCTTCATCTATCTTTTTTTAAAATAGGATTGTGTTATTTAGCTTTGCTATGCAAATAAGCTTTTTATTTGATAATGTGATTCATTCCTGACTTATCTTTAAATGCTTTTTAGTCTCATGAACAAAAGATTTCTGTGACTTTATCTAGCAATTTATGTATGAGCAGAGGGTCATGCACCTGTGTCCTGTGAATGAAATATCAGTAAAACAAGAATAAACCCTTCAACTAACCAAGCCACCTGTGGATGAAATGGCAAGGCATGCTGACTTTAGGATAAAGCCCTAAATCAAAATGAGGCATAACTGTTTGGTGGAATCTGACTTACTAAAAACACATCAAGAAAATGAAAATAGTATTTTGGTCAATGTGGGTGAGTGTATGGACAGCAAACTGTATGATGTGAAGAAAGAATGGTATCAGAACCAGCTTCAGAATAAGTAAAAGATGGCAAAAGAAGTTAATTGTGCTTCAAGGGGGAGGAAAAGATCAAGGTTGTCAGGGAGGGAGGGAGGAAGGAAAGGGAGGGGAGGAGGAGGGGAAGGAAGGAAGGAAGGAAGGAAGCAAGGAAGGAAGGAAGGAAGGAAGGAGGGAAGGAAGGAAGGAAGGAAGGATGGATTTGTGCCTGCCTACAGTGAATCAGTTGACCTTTAAACCTCTAGCTCTTTGGTCTCAAATAGGATGGTATTAAGTACAAAAGCAACATACTGCCATCTCATACATTCAACCTTGTATCTTTGTGCAGAGCTTAGCAGTACCTTTCAGATGTGAAGATGCAGTGGAAGTTACAGGTGCTCTGAGCTGCCTTTTGTCACCTTGGTGGTCTATGCTGTTCTGCTGAGATCTGTCCTGGTTCTGATTGCTTGCAGATCTTTTCAAGCAGTCCAGGTATTGCCAGGTATTTAACACCTGACCTGTTCCCTGTTACAGTTCTACAGCTTTCCAGGATTACATAAGCTTACATCTAAAAATGCTGGCTGGGTTCATAAACAGCAGAATGCTTGAGTTTGGTTTTATGAGCTAGTGTGCATACTAGTGCTTCAGTCATACTGAACCAATGACTGAAATAAAATGTATTGCTGATATGTGGATCTTGCAGCAGATTCAAGTATATTTTGGTGAAATAAAACCTTGGTATTCCCCTGTGAAATCATAGAGAGGAATAATTTTAGCTGCTTGGGTTTTATTCTGTATTAAATTATTTTTAAAACTGACTGATTCTAGTAGCCACTGACAAGTACAATCTCTATCTGCTAATAGTTCTCTTTTTTTTTAGATCTGTTTTCTTAAAGCTATTGAGAGAAGATATTGGTTCAACATGTTCACCTTCATTACTGTCGGACCAAAATTTTCCATGTACCTTGTGTCTGTGAAAAAGGCTGCACAACATGCTGGTTTAGGAGAAATCACAGATTTATAGATCTTAGAGCAAAGTGAGAACACAATATTCATCTAAACCAACTGCAGCTCTGCCCAGACTTCAGGTTCTTTTATTTAACTCATCAGCTTGAGGTTGACCAAAATATAATTCTGGAACTATACCCAGGCTTGATTTAAAGACTGCTGCAGAGTTTGTCACAGTCATTTGGAATTTGTACCAATGGTCAATTACCCTTTCTTTGAAAAATGCCCTTTCTCTGAAAAATACCCTTTCTCTGAAAAATACATACCTTATTTTTTTTGAACTCTGTTAACTTCTTTCTTCTAAAAACTGGATTTTGCTGCTTGACAGCCTCAGCAGGACTAAGGAGCCTTTTATTTTTCTCACAGATATTTCTTGTGATTGTTAGTTTGTATTTGCACAGAAAAATGTCAGAAAAATTTCTTTATAATCAGAAGCACAGTTAGACAGATATCCTTTAAACCCCAGAATTCCTGTGCTAAGGATCTGACATAATTAAAATCTGCCATCTTAGAAAAGAATTGATATGGTACTTTCTATTTCAATTACTAACCACTAGTTCTTTATTAAGTCTAATTAATTCATGGCTTGGGTATCAGTACTGGTGAAGAAAGAAGTTCAGGTATATGCTGTACTTATATTGTAGGAATCATGGTTATTTCTGTGTTCCTCAAAATGCTATTTTCAGCATTTCCTTGAGTGTATCAAACTTTCTTTGCAAATGGCTTGAGTTCTCTGTTACTGGCTTTTCCATAAGCAATTCCCTTGCAGTCATATGGCCAGATGATATCAAAAAGTATCTGGCCCACGGTCCAATTTTGCCTTGTGCCTAGGCAAAATCAATAATTACTCTAAGCCTTCTAAGGAAGGATCCTCCTGCCATTCTTTTTCACTGAGAAGTTGAAGTGCAATCAACATATTATTTCCTCAGAGAATGAAAATTAAAAAGAGTTTTTAAAAAGCTTGAGCAGTAACCTGTGTCCTGTTTCACTTGGTTTCTTTCCCTTAGGAACCAAGTAAGATCAATGGGAGACACTGTCAGTAAATCCTGCCTTGATGCATTTGTCTCACTGATTTATGAGTAATTATTGTTCCTCTTTTCTCCTTAGGGCTCTTCCTGCAATGATGGAGTGGGTCCGAACTCAGAAAGCAGGAGAAAGTGGTGTGAATATTATCACTGCAGATTTTGTAGAACTTGGTGACTTTATCAGCACAGTCATAAAACTCAACTATTCTCTGGTTGAAGGTGAAGATGACACTACTTGATAGTACTGTGATATGTGTGTTGTTGCATTATTCAGAATTTGAAAAAAAAAAAAAAAGAATGATTGTATTCTAAAAGGATTATATTGTAAAACACTCATCTTCTTGTAACACACTGAGGTGTTTAGGGCTTTAGTGGGTGGGTATAAGGGAAATGTTTTCATCATTTATGATCATTTTTCATATTTGTGTTTAGTGTGAAGAGCAAACCTAAACATGTTTACAGTGTTTGATAAAAGAAGGCCATTTACAGGTTCTCCATGAGGTACCAAATGTGGTTCATGTGTCTTCTGTGGTTATGAACAGTGCCAAGAAATTTGTTGTTTTCAGAGCAAGGGGATGTATATATTGTCCTCTTCCTGCTCACAGCAGGATTCCCAACAGTGTGAGCATTGCACCAGGAGACTGAGGACAGTATATCTGGCACAAAAAATTTTAAGCTGCTACATTTCATCTGTTAGGTGGTTTAACTTATCATATTTACCAATGAGCTGCAGGTTTAAATGCCTTTGTGACATTAATCCAAAGTTATGCTTCTAACACATACATAATCAGAGGACAGTAAACATGACATGTTATGTACCATAATTAGTGGACAGTAAACATCATGTACTGTGTAGCTTGCACAAAGCACAGATGAAATCCTGCTTACTTTTCATTCTCAAAATGGGGTTTTCCAATGTCTCTGCCTCAGGTCAAGCCAGCAGGTATGTGATACTGGCCTAATTCTGTAATCACAGAATGGCCTGGGTTGGAAACTTAATGATCATCTAGTTCCAACACCCTGGCCATTGGCAGGACACTTTTCACTAGACCAGGTTTCTCTGAGCTCCATCCAGCCTGGCTTACACACTTTCAGGCATGGGGCATCCACTGCTTCTCTTGGCAACATGTTGTAGTGCCTCAGCAAAGAATTTTTTCCTAAAATCTAATCTAAACCTACTCTCAGTAGCCATTCCCCTTTGTCTGTCATTACATGCCCTTTTAAGAAGTCTCTCTCCACTTTTCTTGTAGACTCCCATTGGGTACTGGATGCCAAAATTAGGTCACTCAAAGTCTTCTCTTCTCCGTATGGAACAATTCCAATTCTCTCAGCCATTCCTCATAGGAGAGGTGCTCAATCCCTCCAATCAATTTCATGGCCTCTTCTGGACTTGCTCCAACAGGTCTTTCTCCTTTTTATGCTGGGATTCCAGGGCTGGATGCAGTGCTCCAGGTGGGTCTCAGCAGAGCAAAGCAGAGGGGCAGAATCCCCTCCCTCCCCTGCTGCCCACGGGGCTCTGGATGCAGCCCAGGACACGTTTGGCTCTCTGGGCTGTGAGTGCCATGGCCGGGCCATGTGCAGCCTCTCACCCACAGCACCCCCAAGCCCTTCTGGGCAGGGCTGCTCTGGGTCTGCTCATGCCCAGCCTGTGCTGGTACCAGGGGCTGCCTGTGCACTTAGTTATGTTAAATTATATGAATTCTCATGGACGCACTTCTCAAGCTTGTCCAGGTTCATCTGGATGGTATCCCGTCCTTCAGGTGTGTCAACAGCATCATTCAGCTTTGTGTTTCCTGAAAATTTGCTGAAGGTGCACTTGATTCCTTCATCTACGTCATTAATGAAGATATTAAATAACACTGGTCACAATATGAACCTCTAAGGGACAGCTGCTGGTCCATATTTTCCTTGTTTCAGGAAATACAGGCCAGCTTTGAGCACCACTTCTTCCCAGGATTAATCTTATCAGGCAGATAAGAGCCTGATCCCATACCCTGAATATGAAAACAACTGTGTTTAGCATAGATTGAGCATAAGGTGAGTTGTGCAATACTCTAACATGTGCAGTTTTTTGTCCTGTGGTAGAAACCTGATTTCTGCAAGATTGAAACTGAACTTAAAAATAGGTGCAGTCTAAGCTGTCTTTAAGGCAGCTATGAGCAGAACACTTTCCATTGATTACAAAAATCAGTGCCAATTTCATCAGTGAAAAGTTCCTGTACTAAAGAGTGTAGTAGTACAATTTTAGCTAATAGCAGTAATCTATAGTCCTTAAATTGTCTGTGGTATATAATACTGCATAACACAAGATTGAAAATCTACTGAATGGCACTGTTCCAGCAACAAAATCAGTGATATCCTAGCTTTAAAAAAACATATATAAAGAGTAGTTTTCCATCTACTTTTATATATGTTTCTTTAAAGCTAGGATGATTTGAATTATAACATCTTACAAAAGAAATGTTCTTTGAAATATTATGAGCATTTATGTGATAGAATTAAGGTCAAATTTCTGTTGATATTACTAGAACTTTTGGTTGAGTGAGAAGAGAGAATTGCATGATACAGGTCCATTGCTATTTTCTGTCAGATGATAATGACTACTATCTCCCATCAGAGTTTAGAAATTCAGAAATGGCCATATTGAACAGATGGATAACAAGCATTATGGGGGTTTGTTTGCTTTAGTTGAGGGAGTGGAATAAGAAGAACACTTCCAGTTGTTTTGTACTGAGAGGGTGCCTTGGAAAAAAGTGGTACGCACATGTGAGTGTAGAATAAAGAGTAATTTAAGTGTATGTGTAATATAATGACACATATATATGTATGTGTGTAACACACACATCCTTTTACACTTGCATAATGATCTTTGGAGTTCTGGGTGGGGCTACTATAAATTTGTTTGAAAAAAACCCATGCAGCTGTTATGAAGTCATGATGGCTCTTTCAGTAGCATTCTCTTTGTATAGGTTGGGACTGTACAAATCTTACTCAATGAAATCTGTGATCTAAGCTAGTTAGGTTTTTTTATGGCATTTAAACTTCATCCAGACTGCACCAAAAATTTACCTAGAGTCACAAATCATGGTTTTGTTGAACAAGAGGCATGACTTTAATGCTTTCTCCCACAACTAAACAAGTATAGAATGGCTTGATAGACTTTCTTTCTGGTTTCCACAGGCTTTCCAAATAAAATTTATTAACAGACATATAAAATGAAACATGAAAATAAAATTTTGAACCCACACCTATGTAGGTGTCCTTCATAAAAAAGAAAAAAAAAAAGCGAAAATGTTTGCTTATTTATTGGCAGCATAGTGTGAAATGATCTTTTTTCCATTTAGCTGGGGTTAGTTCTTTCCAGACTCCTCCTGTGATTCTTCAGCTGCTCAAATATAGCCAAAAGAGTTAATCTATCATTCTAATAAGGGTAAAATGATCCGAATCCTTGGTGGAGTAAAAATTAGGTTTCTTTTTTTGATTCTAGCTGAAATCCTGTTGCATCTGAGGAGCATCAAACACCAGGTTTCTGCTTGGTACCCCTGCTCAAACACACCAGACACCCAGGCTTTTCGCTTGCTCAGAGGTTCGTACTCAAGGCAAATGCTTTGCTATATTTTAAAAAATCTGTGTATGTGTGCCTGTATATGTATGAATAAGTATAGAGCTATCTAGAGTTTGTTAGTATTGTTATGAAATGTTTGCTTAGTGTCAGTTTTATTCTAATTCTCATTGGAAATAAATAGAAAGTAAAAGCAAAGCAAAAAATTCCTCTGACAAGAAACATAATAGACAAATTGTATAATTTTCCATTGATGGGAAGAATACTAGCAAAATTTTAAATTCTGGTCAGAAAAATGAGTTTTCATTTAGCTGTTGATCTTTCTATTGGAGAAGCACAGCACTTTATGGTAGGAACAGGTAAACAAACTTGCCTTAATTATAAAAGAAAAAAGTGCATGTGGGGATATACTATCCATGCTTTCTGAAGATTTCATCTGTGAGGGCCTAAGCTGTAAGTTTTAGTTTTAAAACTAAGTCTTGATAGAGATGCACTCCCTGTTGACATTGTTTGGGGATCTTGCCAAAAAAGAACAAGCCAGAAAGTACTATGCAGCACAACTGGACCATTCCAGAGCCCCAGTTTTGCCACCCCATATGCAGCTAAAATTGTCTTTGATTTCAACCAGAAATGTGCTTGCTGGAGTTGGGTCAGATATGTTATTCTGATCCCATGAACTTGGAAGGTTTCTTCACATGTAATGAGGAATCTTGCATGGGAAATGTTGACTGTAATAGCCATGAAGGAAAATACCTGTCTACACTATTGATCTGTATAAGCACCTACTTACTCAAAACTGTATGCCATTCACTGCCAAAACATTTTTTGCTTCTTCTGATTACTTTTCCCCTCACTATGTTCATCATGTATGCATCAAGTGCTTTTGTTTTCTGGCAGTTTCATGTGATTACTTGATCCTTTCTTTTCACCCATACTTGAAAAATGGCAGCTGTGCTGACACACTGAATGTCTCAGCTGTGTTAAACCCACCTGGCTCCATTTTTCAGATTTACACATGGCTAAGACATCTTTTGTTCCATACTGATCTAACTGCAGAAATCCAGTCCAAACAGGAGGTGGTTCCTGGAGTGCAATTCCTGCCTTTTATGGTGAGGGGTGAATCGAGATCAGACCAGAGGAGTGTAGTTTTAGAATTAGTGGGTTATTTGCATTCTTTTGCTGTTGGATACATTTCTGGTTTTATAGGTCCTGCTATTTCAAAACATTCTTTTAAATGTAAGCATGTATGTATATATATAAATATATATATGCATGCATGGCTGAGAGGGAATGAACACTGTGCTCAATCTTTCTGTCATACTGATACAAATCTAGACAGTTTCTACTAACTTCAAAGTAGTTACTAAGCCTTTACCCTGAGGTAAGAGTGAGCAGAAAGTCACTGTGTAGTAATTATAGGCTGTGTTGCAAATGAAATTTAAAGTTGTGGAGCTTAATTCCACAAAATAAAAAAATTAAAAAAAAAAAAAAAGAAAGCATTTTGCCCTGAAAACACAGTTCCAGTGCTGTTTATCCTCAATTTAGTATATGAAGCACTACTTATTAGCAACTGATTAGGCCATTTGGTGATTTCAAGAGTTCAGGTCACACCATTTCAAAGTTCTAAATTCCTTTTCAGTGAAGTAAAAACTAATAGTGTATGATGTATTTGCCATATCTCAGTGGTAGCTTCTGTGTTACATATGGTCAATGTTGTTCTGAAATGTATATGTTTACCCAATGATGAGGTTAAAATATGCTGTATAGTATGTGTAATGTATTGATTAAAGTATTTGGAGTTCAGTGGTCTATTTAGTTTTTACTGTGCTGCTGTTTCGTAGATATGTGTGTAAATGGGATTATGGATTGTCTACGGTGTACAAGGAAATAATAATTAATCCTAAAGGAAAAGGGCAGTTATGTGACCTGCCTTAATGCATTAGGATACTATTGTTAAATCTCATAATTATCGGTTCTGTTTCAGATGTTACCAAGGGTTGCCCGTAGAGCTGACTCCCTCGCTTTCTGGCACGAAGGAGTAAAACTTGGAGCTCACTTACAGATTTGTAAATACAGAACAGGATGTTTGCCTGATCAACTGCCTTGACTGTACAAGGTGGCAAAGACATGGTTTCCAGTGTGTTGTAGATCAAATCACTTCTGCACACACACAACTGCTGACGTCAGCAGGAACTGTGATTATGTAATTGAGTGGCCTCAAATTCATCTTCTGGAATATAGTCATGATAGGAGGATGGGGATATCCTGGCTTTAAGGAAGTGCCTGTGTGCTATGCAATACTGCTCATGTCCTGTGTTGGAACATAGCTTTAAATTTGCAGGAAGAGCTTTGAACTTTGCTCCAGTGTAGGTTGGACCTATCAAAAAAAAAAAAAAATCCTTAGTAAAAATTGTGAATGCCATAGGCTGATCAGGATGGCCTGGCTTGCCCATGTACAGCGTTCTGCTTTCAGGAGTTGTGGCAGTTTTAAATTAAAAAAAAAAAAAAAAAAAAAAAAAAACTATAATAATTCGCTGTCCCTGCAGGACCTACTTAGGAATCTCAACATTGCCTACAGGTATGACTCCTGTATGTTCCCACAGCCAAGTCTAGCTCTCCCTTCATGGTTTATATTAAGATGCCTGATGCCAAGAGTAATTAGGATAGAGATGCTAACTAAACACAAGGAGTGTCAACCTTGTGCCTGGCTGGTTGGAGTAGGATGCCTGCCCTCCAGCAGCACATTTGCTATGAGGTCAGCTTCAGTCAGATCCACCTGAACAGTGACTGAGGGAAGGCACAAGTCTGCTTTCAAAGCCTCTTCAGTTGTCCAGTTAAAATGCAGCATCTTCCCACTTCTCTCCTTTGCATCTGCTCCGTGCTGCTTATCTGGACTTGTGCGTACACATCCCTTTACCTGCCAGGTGAATATTAGATATTTGTCAGCCTCAGCACATCATAGCAGCCCACATGGTCGTATAAGATGTTAAGTGTGTGGGGCTAAAAGCTGGAAGTGGGCCTCATCTAATGTCCCAGGATTGTTTATGAACACACTCCAAGTTATGCACACACATCCTCTTGAAGAAGCGTCGCCTTGGCCAATGAGTATCTCCTCAGAGGGAGGTGCACTTAGGGGTTTTTTGTTTCTGCAGTAAGATTGCATGTACTAATATCTTCCTTCAGCCTTTGATCCTACAAATGTCAGTTTGATTGGAAGAAATTTCTCAAGTAGCTGCAATTAGTTTTGCTGTGAAGCGGGGATCCTTAAAGCAGAATCCTGGAGTTATGTGTAATTACTATTACTGAAAATAAAAATATGTGGTAAAACCCACAATTTTAAAAAGAAAAATTGTATGGGCTTGCCAGGAAAGTTAAGTTTTTGACTGCCTCAGTCATCAGTAGTTTAGTATAATCTAGGTGATGATTATTAGCATGTTATTGCCACACTGCCTCCTGACACTGTTCAGGGTCTCTGTACAGAAGCCTTATTATTCCCAGTGAGCATTAATGCATTTGAATGACTTGTCTCAGTTTTGATGGGAAGGAGGATTGTGTAACACTGAGAACATGAAGCTCCCTGTGTGTTGTGCCCACAAAGGTTCACAGAGCTGCACCTTCTCGTTTTAGGATCTGTTTAATGGTACTTTAATAAATGTTGTGTAAAAAAAAATGCCTACAGTTCTGTATAGCAAATGTGAATTTTTATGACAAGAATGTGTATTTAGAGTAAAAAAAGGAATATAAAATCCAGTTTCTTTGTATTCAGTGAAACATCTAATAAAGCTCTGGTACCTGTATTCTTGTTTCATGGCTTCATTGCTTCATTTAAGGCTTTTCATGTGGGAGGCTTTTTAAGCACAATTTGGGGTTATGGGGTGGAGCCATATATTAGACACAGGCTGTGCTGTTATGTAAGACGTGTACGTGGACTGTCCCATGAGGGCATTGCACTGGGACTGTCCTTTTTACTTGGTTACTATAGGGACCCTTCAATAACACGGGATGCTGTGAGTGCTGTCCAATGGTGTGTCTGTGCTGTGAGTGTCCATGCTGCCAGGGACATGATGGGCTCTTGGCTACCTCTTTTCCCCAGTGGGGCTCTCCAGCCCCAGCCTGCCTCAGGCAGCAAAGCGTAAGCCCCTGTGGTGCAGCCTGCTGGTTCCCGCCACTGGTGTCTGGAACGCAGGGGACCACCCTTGTGCAGTCCCAGATTGTCTCATTGTCCCCTGGGCCGTCCCACATCGCTGCCTGCATTCAGCGTGCCCCACCATCGAGGCAAACCAAACCCTGCTTGCCTGCAGGTGCAATGGAGCAGACTGACTGCTGCCCCAAGTCTGGCTCCAGGACATGCCAGTGAGGAGGTGAGTCCTGGTGTCTCCTGTGGGGTGCGGGAACCCCCCTCAGAACCGGGCACAGGCAACTTCCCAGCAAGGGTGCTCTGTACGCAGGAGCAGGACCAGCTTCCAGCCAAAGCTGGGTGTGGCATGTTAGAAAGTTAAAGCCTTTCTGCATGGCAGAAGCTTGAAGTTTAAGGTTTGTGTTACTGTATTTTCCTAACAAGGCCAGAAATTTTGTTTTTCAGGACAGACTTCTGTTGCTCACTTCTCCTACTGTGTCACAGGCAGACCCAGCCCAGGTACAGTGCCCTCCTACTCATTGTGACCTCTCGCTTGGCCCAGGTGAAGGCTGCATGATGCAGGGCTGCAGTAGAAGAGGCCATGAAAGATGAGCAAGTCTCTCAGTGACTCCCTGAAGAAACCCATTAATTAAATTTGCTTGCTGCTTAAAATATCTCCCTACTTCTTCCCAACCCACAGGTACTGTCTTACCAACAGAGGCATATTATTGGTCAGTACACAGAATAAATTTTCGCAATTGCTAGAGTGGTTACTAAACACTAAATGTAGCCTTTACTTTAGATCATGATCAATCAACAAAGCTCCTATCTCTTCTTTAAAATGTTGGAAGTGATACCAAATTTTCATATGGTTATTAAAAGCTAACCAACATGCACACAGAGGAGTAAAAATTGCAGCTTTTGGCAGTGCTACCGGACTAGAGCATGTGGGGGGTGGTACAAATTGCAGATGGAGCTGGTCAGCTGGAAGGGACATCAAAAACGGGGTTGAGTTTAGCATGATGGCTCTTAGTACTTTTACTCACACATCCAATAGCAAGTGTTCAGTCTGGACAAACTCCTACAGCATCCGTGGTGGCAAGGGGCAGGGGATGTGGGGGTGAGGTTGGCAGAGGAATATGCCCACAGAAGCTGCCTGCAATCTTGGAAGACCCAGTTGTTCCAGTCTCCAGCAGTATTTCATACCCTTGATGCCCTAAAGGCTGGAAATAAACCCCCATAGACTGATATCTATAGAGCAGGTATTTGTTTATTGCAGTGCTGGTGGTGAGGGGGATTTCTCCTCCTAACTCACCCACCTCTGCCAAGTGCTGTGGTACAGTAACTATTGCTCAGTGTCACTATGTCACTACAATATCATCACATACACCCCAGAACTAGTTTATATAGTATGATCTCATGGTTATTAGTCCTTTTGCACTGCACTTGTGCCTCCCCAATCTGGGTGTCATTAGGGGTCTTTGATGAAGACTTCCAAGGTCTTCTTCACATCTGAACTTTTCAACTTTGCCATCAGAACACGTGCAGTTATGCTGTTCCTTGGTCTGTCTGGTCTTAACCGGCCTGAATTCTTTGTTTTGTGGCTAATTGGCTTTGCACTTGCCATTTTCTCATTAGTACTATATTTATCTATCTCTAGAGCTATCCACCTGGCAAGGTTTTTTCTTCTTTTCTTTATCTATTCAGCATAAAGAAACTTGTTAACCTTATACTAGCCATTACATTGTATAAAAAAAATTATTTAAATTATTTATATCAGGTTGTATAGGCATAAAAAGCTATGATTCAGGTTATATAAGTATCAGGTTATATAGATACATAAAAAGTCATTATTTAGGTTATATTGGTAATCAGGTATCAGGTTGTACTGGTATCTTAAAACTCAAGCTATATAAGCACCTTGTAACTTTGATCTAAGTTACATAGGCATCAGTCTTTAGCAGGCCAATGTGCACCAAAGTCAATACAAGCATCTCAGCTCCCTCATCTCTGGAATATATTGCTTGTGCAGTCACACATATAATTCCTCCAGCAATACCCACCCTGGTGTTCCCACCTTAGACAAATTACAATGAACATCAGAGACCTTGGAAAGGGAGAGGGGGCTTACTGGAGAGGGTGAGGATGCACTTGAAGACCTGACCCTCTTTTGTCTCTATCACAATCACACAGATTCAGCCCAGCCTGAAAGTATGGCCTGGAAGACCTACCTGAGCACCATCATATTTGAGCCAGATGAAGACAAGGAAATAAAGAAACGTAAAGACTGAACAATAATCTGCAGGCAGGTAGGAGTTCGCAGTGCTTCTTGCTAGCCATTTCTCCCTCACAGCATTCTGATTGAAAGGGAAGAAAGATTAAAAAAACTCCTGCTTGATTTACAGGGTACACATGCTCCTTTCTCATTAATGTCACATCATCTATGCAGATACATTTTGTTTCCTTGTTCCTGTACAGTTTCCAGGGTTGCAAACATTCCTCATTGGCCAAACTATGGTCTGAACAAACCACTTCTTTCCCTGAGTAGCCATCACATTTCTGAAGCTTGTAAAGTTTCTGAGGAAAAATTTGAGGCCATGAGCTGGGGTGTGTTTTGGATATGTCAGGTGCCACACTGGTGAAACAGCCAGGATAGATCCTACCTAGGAGTACAAACCAAACAAACAATCAATCAAACAAACAAACAAACAAAACACTGTAGTCTAAGTCCTCTGGCTTTGCTTTTCTAGAAAATCAGAAACATTGAACCTGTCTCTCAGTTTGCATTCAAATCCAGGAGGAAGGGGAGTCATGTTATTAGGTGATACCTGCATGAATTCCTTGTTCCCAAATTTCCAAACCAAGAACACTGACAGCAGTCAGGGTTTGCCACTTTCACCTTTCTCTAGTGCTGTACTCATCAACCTCGCAGTCATCTGCCACAAGTCAACAGAGATCTTGTAAAAGGTTTTAGAGTGTTGGTTTCTTAATAAAAAATCACCACATTATTTTCCTGCAGTAATGGGAAGATTTGCCCATGTTCATTAAAATTTGACCCAAAATCTGAACAAACTTCTTTTCCGTTGTATCATGTATCTGCAACTGTATAAATACATCTCTGCTTTTCCTCCAGTTACAGCACTGAGAAATAGAAAGCATGAAAGCTGTTGGAAAGAAAACATTCTAGGTGTACCTTTACCTTCTTTAGACCTTCTTGCTCATATAGAATTGCTGCATGCTCCCAAAGTGGCCAATACATTTTAATATTTCCATTGGGATTGTTTCAAAAATAAGTGTCTGTTTTTTATATCTTAACTTAAATGAAATATGCAATTAACAGTGTATACAAACAGCAAATGCTGTGGTCTATTTTCCAGGCTATTGAGAAATGTGGATTTGTCATCTCTCTGTCTACCTTTCAATCCTCTATTGACCATTAGCATCAGCACTGAAACAAAATGAAGCAATAAAATTCATTTGCTTTGACTTTCAAGAAAGCAAATCACAGTAGGAATCATGGAGAAAGATACAGGAACAAAGTAGAGCACATCATTATGTATTCATCCAGGCACCATCAATACTAGTGCAGTTTGGTTAGCCAGTAGTAAGGAGCATGTGGCAGGGCTAAAAAGGCTCCATCAGGGCAACAAAGATGAGCAAGGTTACAACAAATTTCCAGCTCAGGAAAGATGAAGTCAGGACTCCTTGGACTGGAGATGAGGCTGGTAGGAGGAGGTATCATAGCTGGCTATCAAACCACGAGTGTCATGGCTGCAAGTGGTGTCCCACAAGCAATAAGATGAGACATCACCCGAACCTTTCCAGAGGCATGTCTAGAGCAGACAAAAGGGGGGGAGGGGCGGGATTTCAGCTGCTGGGTAGCTACACCACAACACTTCTTACCATGGGATGCTGGGAAGGGTGTTGAATGTTTCATCAGCCTGAAGGAAGATTAGGCAGATTCATGAACAATAAATTTGTTGCAGGTTGCAGATGTGGGAATCCAGGGCTTCCCTCTGGCTGCCCTGGCAGGTCTGGGACCCTGGCAGGGGTCAGGAACCCCTCTGTACAGAGCCCCGAGGGACACTGTCTGTGATCTCTGTCCATGGAGAGGAGTTTTCAATCTTACAGGATCAATTACAAGCTTTGAGTGTTTGATTAGAGTAATAATTAAGTGTGACACGGGTGCAAAAGTAAAATTTTAGGTTTCTAGATTAGGGGTTCAGAGGGGACAAGATGGAGGAATTGGGAGTGTCTTGTCCTTTTCTTCCTTCTTCATGCCCTCCATGTTTCACTGTGGTGTTGGCATTTTTCTATTGGTTTAAGCTGGGGACACACTATTCCACATAGATGATAGATATTGGCACATTATTGTAAATATAGTACACGTAGTTTCTGGTATATAATGTTTGTAACATCCCACTGAGGGGCAGAGCCCCACATGCTGCCCTGCAGGACAGACCTGCGGCAGGGCAGCAGAACATGTTAGAGATAAGCAAGAATAAACAACCTGGAAAACAGCACAGACGAATTATGGCTTCTTCTTTGGCAACGGGGCAGAAAGACAGAGACTTTCTACAATCTCGGAATCACCAATACCCACAGATTCCGACACAGAGACAGTGGATTTTTCTCACAAAATTCCTGTCCTGTGAATAGTTTGGTGGTGGGGCAGTGCTC